ATGTGTTTGTATGTATGTGAGCATGTCTGTGCCACAGTGTGTGTGTGTGTGTGTGTGTGTGTGTGTGTGTGTGTGTGTGTAAGTCAGAGGACACCTTGCATGTGGGTCCTTGGAATCACTCAGGTCATCAGGCTTAGAGCCAAGTACCTTTACCCACTGACCTTGAAAACATATTTTTAAGGCAATCACCAGGGCAGAAAATAAGTAAGAACACACAAATAACAAATAAAGGGCTTCTTGGCTACTGGCATAAAGAAAGTCAAGTCTTTCTTGGTGAAAACGACTTCTGTTCACACCAACTCAATAGGAATTCAGTGCCCACTCTCAACAAACCACAGGTAAGAGACCACAGAAACAGCCCCAATGACTTCAAAGAACAGAACTGGTGTCTCTTGGACATGACAGGACCACAGTATTAATGAACTCACAGCAATGGTGGTTGTCTGCACAAGACTCGCACAAGATCAAGCCAGTTAATATTCTAGCATGAGCCCCCACCTTCAACTGAGGCACTATGGGCAGTTGATGATGGGGGGATCCATTTTCTTCTAGAGTGTAGTCCCTGGCAGGTTGACCAGTGGATAGCCTTACACCTACGAGTATATGGGAAGCACAAGTTGGACTCAGCAAATTATAGATTTTAAAAAAGAAATGAAGTTGGGAAGGAGTGGGGGTATGGAGGGTGGGTCTGAGAGGAGGAGGGGGGTAAATATGATCAAAATACATTGTATGCATGTATGAAATGCTCAAGGAATTAAATAAGAAGAGAAATAACAGGCTGGATGTGGTGGTGCACATCTTTAATCCCAGCACTTGGGAGGCAGAGGCAGATCTCTTGAGCTTGAGGCTCTTCATAGTAAGTTCCAGGCAAGCCAGGGCTACATTGTGAGATGCTACCCCTAAACAAATAGAAAAACAGAACTAGTATAGAGAAGATAATTGTAGTTTAAATTTCTAGAGCTGAGGATGTAGCTCAATGGTAGAGATCTTGCTATCATGCACAACAAGGACATGGGTTTAATCCCTAGTATAAAAATTTGTTTTGTAAAAAAATTTTGAAAATGGAATCTCAAAAACTAGAACAAAATAAAGACATCAGGTATGAGAAAACCAGAAACTGAAAACTTGTTGGCAACAAACCAAATTTGGTAAGCTTCATAGTAGGTGGGGAAAATTGGTGAATCCTGAAATGGAGCTGAATAAATTACAGGAAACAAAAGAAAGAAAAATTAATAGAAAAATATAAAAACAGGTTTAAAGAGAAAGCAATTAAAGTGAAAGAGACTAATATCCCTGGGGCTGGAGCGATGGCTCAGTGGTCAAGAGCACTTGCTGCTCTTCTAGAAAACCCAAGTTTGGGTCCTAGCACCTATGTTGGATGACTCATGACTACCTGTAACTCCAGCTTCAGACACTCTCTTCTGGTCTTCATGAGCACCTGCACACATGTGGCATTCACTCACACAGACACAGACACAGACACACATACACACACAAATAAGATTTGATTTTTAATCAAAGAAAAAAGAGACCTAATATGCTGATTACTGGAGTTCTAGAAGACAAGAATGGTGGAAAGACAAATTGTGAAGAGGTGAAAACTGAAGATGTTCTAAAGCCAATGAGACGGGAATCCAAATAAAACAAAAAATATAATGGTTTCTGTCAGGCGGGGAAGCGAATTAAAATTAAGCCACACTTAGACACAGTAAGAAGCTCTTAAAGCATCCAGAAAAGAAAAAAAAAAACCTAAAAACCCTGGGTATCTACAAGTGTGAAGTGAGAGCAGATTTCTTATCAGTATCAGTGGGAATCAGAAAGAAAACAGTGGTCACATCACAGTGTCTGGGGGGAATTGGGGATTCAGTGTTGGGGATGTGGCTCAGTTGGTAGAGTACTTGCAGAGCATGCATAAAGCCCTGGGTTCCATCCCCAGCACTGTATAAACCAGACATGGTGCACACCTAGAATCCCAGTGCTCAAGAGATATAATAGGATGTTCAGAAGTTCCAGGTCATTCTTGGCATAGCAAGTTTGAGGTCAGCCTGGGATACATGAGACCCTGTCTCAAAAAAAAAAAAAAAAAAAAAAACCACCACCAACAACAAAAATTCTGGTAAACAAAAATAAATAAAAGTGTTTCCCAACAGCTCCTTCCTAAAGGAGAGGAAGCTGAAAAAGGAGGAAGAGCAGACAAACAGTGACTATGGGTCAGCAGGCAGGAAGGCTCAGTGGGTATAGGGGCTTGACACCAAGCCTGACAACCTGCGTTCTATCCCCGGTATCCACATGGTGGAAGGAGAGAACTGACTCCACAAGTTATCCTCTGATCTTCCCTGTACCATCATGGCACGCGTGCGTGCGCGCGCACACACACACACACACACACACACACACACACGCATGTGCACACAAAATAAATTTTAAAAATTTAAAAACATTTAAAGGTAGGGGTTGGAGATATAGATGGCTTAGCAGTTAAGAGCACTGGCTGCTCTTGCAGAGGACCTGGGTTCAGTTCCCAGCACCGACAGGGCAACTAACAGCCATCTGTAACTATAGTTCCAGGGGATCCGACGCCCTCCTCTGACCTCCACAGGTATTGTATGGCATGAGTGCACTTACATACATGTGGGCAATACACTCACAAAATTAAAAAAAATATATATAAAGATAAAATACACATAAAATGAAAATAATAAATAAATTCTTTAAAAATCTTTTTAAAAATAGTGATCACGTAATCTAAAAAACAAAACAAAAACAGTTTCACTCTAGCCCTGGCTGGGGTGTGACTCACTGTGACTTCAGACTCACATCTTCCTGATTAGGTCTCCTGAATGCTGGGATTACAAGTGCGGACCAGTGAAGAAAGTCTAAACAGAATCGTTCTGTGTGTAATAATTAATGATGATATTCATTTACGTAAGGCTTATGCTGCTCTGGGGATTGAACCAAGGGCCTTGTGCATGCTAGAGAAGTGCTCTACCACTTAGCTACAACCTCTGCTAAAAGACTAGACAACAATGTCATGTAATCAGTTGACTGGAGATCCCAGGTAAAGTGCCCTAATGCTCTCATATTTACTGAGGGATGGGACAAATTGTAAACTGGTTTTTTTTTTGGTGGGGGGCTAAATACTCTTAGAAACATGTCAAGGGTACCCACTAAAAATTAAATATATAATCTACTGCCATACCACCCTGAGTGTGCATGATCTCATATTTAAAAACCCATATAATTATAGCATACAAATCCTTAGGAGGGAGAAAATGAAGTTTTTAAAAATTTTTTATTATTTTATTTGTATGAACGTATTACCTGCATGTAGGTACATATAGGCTGTGGCTAAGTGGAGACCAGACGAGGGTGTCTGGAATTATGGATGGTTGTCATGTGGGTGCTGGGAATTGAACTGGGGTCCTCTGGAAGAACAAGTGTTCTTAACTACTGAGCCATCTCTCCAGCCCCATGAATATTTTTTTTTTAAAGCAA